GGTGAGATGAGGAGCCTCATCTCACAGCTGAACGTTCCAGGCCAGCCTTCGAGGCTGACTAGAATGATGGTTGTGCGTTGTGAGGGAAACGTCCTTGCAGGCTGGACACGGACCCTTGGTCAGGGAGCAAGCGCGGGTTGGAGAGGGCCTGCACTGGGCACGCTGGGGGAGGGACAAGACAGGCCGCACAGGAGCTTCACCCAGGTGACAGGCGGAGCTTCCCTCCCTGGCATCATCCCTAAACTACCCACAAGTACCCACCCCAAGCCTACCCAAATACTCACAAACAGCCCCTCAGCAGCCACGGCAGGGCCTTCAACTCTTGGCTCGTGACACCAGAGCACGCTGAGAGACAGCTCGAGCCCTCAGCTCTCTCTCGCCTCCATCTTGCAGAGTCACCTCCTCCTCCGCCAGACACGTCGTGCTACAGCCCGTGCCAGACAGCCGCCTGCGGCCCAGCCCCGCTTGCCAACAGCTGCAACGAGCCGTGTGTTCTTCGTTGTGCCGACTCCAGCGTTGCGATCCAGCCCCCACCGGTCGTGGTGACGCTGCCGGGCCCAATCCTCAGCTCCTTCCCTCAGAGCACAGCCGTGGGATCCACAGCGTCCGCTGCCGTGGGGAGCTCTCTCAGCGCCGGCAGTGTGCCCATCGGTGCTGGGTGCTCCCTGGGCCTGGGGGGCTTTGGGTGGTCAGGGCTGGGCCGTGGGCTCTGTGGGACTCTGGGACGTGGCAATCTCTTCTGCTAAAGCCCGTGGATCACCTGCCTGTGCATGAGCACCACGGGCCTTGAAGGCAGCCCTGGAGCCAGCCCTGAGGGCATGGCCATGGTCTGCAGAGGAGCCGAGTTCCCACCAACTTCTCCTCATCGCCCGCCCTCTTTCCCCTGCTGACTATCCCTGGTCTTCTGCTATCACTGAGCTTTACTGAGAATGTCCAAAGGGCATTGCTGAAACTCTCAGCTGTCGCTTGTTCTTCTCCTTTTCTCATTAAAGGCATTGAGCATCAGCGTTGGAAACGAGTCTCCTTTCATTCTTCCTCCTTCCCCAACCCCCGACAGCCCAGTGCGCAACGGACTTCGTCCCCTTGCAAAACTCTGCGGGACTCTGCAGTTCCGGGCTTTGATAGTGCAGTGCAGTCCACTCCTCGCAAGGGAGATGAGATCATTTCATGCTGAGAGCTCTCTGGGAAGGACAATCATTGCTCACTGGCACCACTCAGGAGCCACGCAGCAAAGTGTGAAGGGAGAGCGCATTTTCTGTGGAATGTTCCTGGGCTGCTTCAACTGCTGCAGGGACATGAGAACCTCCTGGGTTAGTAAGAACCGATGCTGGCTCAGGCGACTTTAGGAGGAAACGTTTTTCTAACAAGCCAGAAAGTCAGCTCAAGGACTACCACCCATTCACAAGGCAGCCAGCTTTCCAACTCCTTCCCCACAAGGGCCCCAGCCAGCTGTCCCGTGACACACACGGAAAGCCGGGAGGTGTGAAGCAGGCTATCTCCCGCACTCCGTTTTGGGAGGGAGAAAGACACTGAGTCCGTTTACTGTCTCCTTCACAAAGAGGAGAATCGGTCCAAGGAAGAAACGCCTGAGCTTGACAGTGTCTCGCTCCAATTTACAGGAGGGAGAGGAGGTTCTTTTATTATCTATATACCCGGCGTGAGATTAAGAAGCAACAGTTCAAATGTTGGTCCAACCAGTTTATTACAAATCTTAATTAGGGAAATGGGGAAGGGGAGGACAGACACTATTATGAATTAGGGTAATGGAGAAGGGAAGGAGGGCGATAGAAAAGATAGAAAAGAAGAAGCAAAGAGTCTTTATAGAAAGCAAGAGGGACATAGTCACCACCATGGATCCAGCGAGGTTCGTAGTTCCGTCTTTGATCCTCAGTAGTGGTGGGTTGTCGGGCATTGTTGTTCTATTGACGACAAAGGACGACCATGACCATGGTGATGATGGCCCTTTTTCAATGCTTCAAAGTGGTTGAGTCAGCTATCTTTGGAGTGACAGCTCAAATCCAAAGTGGTCGAATCAGCTCTCCTTTGAGTGACAGCTCAAATCCAAGGTGGTTGAGTCAGTTCTCCTTGCGGTGGCAGCTTCTGGCTCTGGGATCTCAGCAGGAACCTCCTTTGTTCTTATCTTTCTGGCCTTGCCAGAGGAAGCAGGGAGGCACCAACTTGCATCTTGCCTCCGCAAGATACAATGGTATCATCCCCCAGCCTTCCATACTTAGCTGGAGCGGTTTGGTCACAGGCCAGATCTTCCGCCAGTGAACACTCCTGAGCACTCTCTTCCGCTCTTCTACAGAGCAAGCAGCTCTGGGGGAAGGGGCTTGCAAATGTTCCCAAAGTGATATCGATTGTCACACAGTTAGCACCCATCAGTTGCCTCCTTGACAAGTCACTCAGAGTCTTATCACAAGAAAAGCCTCAGGAAGCAAGCTTTCAGCCAAAAAAAAAACAACCAAAGAAGGATTCTCACAGACAGAGCTACTTGGAAAGGAGCAAATTCTCTTTCGCGGGGGAAGCCGAGTAACGTCGTGATCCATCTCTTCCCAGGACAATCACAAGCCTATGGGTTGAGAAGGCAAGAGCAAGGCTGGAACAGGAACGGTGCCTGGGAGAGACCCGCATGAAAGTGCTTCTGGTCCCAGCTCCACGGCCTGTGGATTGCTTCGTTTTGTCTTTTTTTGTTGATGTTGTTTGTTTGTTTGTCGGTTTTGCGTGTCTGTGTGTGCGTGTGTTGCGCAGGAGAAAAATTAACCAAGCAGAGCAGAAAGAGTAGCAGAAGTAACACGGAGTAGCAGAACTGTGGAGGTTGGAAGGAACCTGTTGAGACTTGCCAGTCCGAGCCACCTGCTGAAGCAAGATCCACTTGAGCTGGTCGGTGGGGACGTAGTGCAGTCAGGTTTCAGTATCTCAGAGGATGACAACTCCACAGCTTCTCGGGGCCATCCTTTCCATTCTTTGTCCACCCTCACTGCAAAACTGTTTTGGTGTTGAGATGGACGTCCGCAACTATCGCTGGGCCGCAGCGACACCACTCCATTTCATTCAGGGGCCAACTTCAATGCCTCGCTACAAATGCACGTGTCAGGAGAAATAGCAGGGGGGAACAGGAATTTTTAGCCCAGGCTCAGGACAACGAGATCATAGGCCTCAGCGAGACGTGGTGGGATGGCTTTCATGACCGGAGTGCAGACACAGGCAGGGAAGCACAGGAGGCAGGGGAGCCCTCTGCATTACAGGACGGCTTGACTGGATGCAACTTAGTTGTCTTAGTGATGAAAGGGGCCAAGCGTCGCTGCGCAGGAGTCAGGCAAAAGACCAACGTGGCAGAAATTGTGACAGGACTATGTGATCGACCGCCCAACTGGCACAAAGAAGCAGATGGAAGAGTCTACCCAATGAACATAAGGAGAGAGAACAAATGTACTACTGACTCGCCATGGAGCGACCTGACCCACTCCAGCTATGTTCTCGATGTCTCCCTCCCTGCATACACGACATGAAGTTTCTCTCCAGATTAATAGGGGCCTGGGCTGAACATAATACATAAACTCTATTATCCCTTTCCTGCTGCTGACTGAGAGCAGGGCCTCTCTTTGCATTACCTGTTGTTACTGGATGAACTAGAGTAGTTACTGATATTTTTCGTAATTCTATCAACTGTGCTGGTAGTACAGGACTAACTTATTCATGCCACTTCCTCATGTCTTCTGCATGGTCCCGTAGGGAACACCACAATTTTATTCCACTTTTTCAATGCAGGCTTCAAGCTGTCTTTGATGGGATACCTTTCCTTCCCTCGTTCCTGGAGGGTGGAAGCCCCATCCAAACATCTACTAGTCCCTCTGTCAATAGCTGGATCTCCGGCTATGCATCCTAGCTGGTGAGCTTCATTACCATTTAGAGACAAGCTAATGGCCCTGCTGTCCCAACAGCAAAGCTACCAGGAAACGAGTTTTGTTTGGGCACCGTGTAAACTCCTTTCTTGAACCTTGGATTTCAGTCATTTTTAGAGGTTGACATGTAGTAATAGAGACTAATAGAGACTTCCTCTTCATCACTCTCTTCTCCATGTCTCTTAGTTTTTTCTTTTGCCTTTCTTGATGATGGTGGTTCTGAGGAGTGCCTCTCACCTGGATCTTCCTCTACCTCCTCCTCCACTTCTTCTTTTTTCCATTCTAGATGTGAGAACACTCGTTTCCATTTCTTGCCCTCCACATGAGCGACTGGTATTGTTACTAGTGTCTCCTGTAACTGATTTGATTTGACTTGGAGATTTTCCCCTTTGGCTTGAACCTCAGCTCGGAAACTTTCTCTCTCCAGACCAGTATTATCTAGGGCATGGTAAGCACATGCCAAGCCCCAAATAAGTTGTACCTCCTTAGATCTATGTAAGCTGCACCGTCCCTTAATCAAATACTGGCTTGGTTTCTCAGGATCCCACAGGCGTTTAAGAGTGAAATTCCATGACACTGTGGGTCCCCATGCTTCTAAGATTTTTCCTAAACCTCTCCATATTCCCTGTCAGTCAACATTCTCTGGTTTTGGACAAGACTCCTTCCACATAACACGAATGGATAGGAATATATTCAGGGAGTTGGATAACATGCACACGGCTATGCTGACAGACATGAACTCAGTATTCAAAAAATGTGTGATGAACTGAGAAGAAAGCCTGGGAACTGTTTTGAACATTGGTGTTGTTTGCCAAATTAGCCATGTAATTTTAAAATTAGCTATTATTATTATTATTATTACTATTATTATTATTAATTAGCTATTCTATCTGGGATGTAAGTGTCAAAATTAAAATCATACCACATTGCATATAAGTACCAGGCAGGAGTCTCTCCATCAGTGCCCTTATTTGTGTTTTTATGGACATGATTCCACAACAAGAAATCATGACGTTAATTGCCACGGAGCTAAAACAGCAATGCGATCACTATCTGAGCGGGAAGCATGACAAGACTCAATATGAGTGATCCAGCTTCAGTTTATTAACAATTACATAGAGTTTTTATTGTTGGCTTTAGCTATCATGTTGCCTTGCTATTGGTGGACAACAGTCGTTTCTTGGCAGAGAAGAATCTAACTATGTGCTATCTGTTTTTGTCAACTCCATTAAACCAAGTTCCTCCTCGGGCTACTCCCTCCTGCTCACAATAACATTGTGACCTTCTGTTAGCCTCCAGAATTTTTCCATGGGTATACAATCTGTACTGCCATACAGGCTGTGCTTGTACATCTCCTCATGGCCTCCTTGTTCCCGGAGCTATTCCCCAACAATTCCCCCTTTTTTCTTTTTGTCCGAGCATAGCCCCTTGCACAATCCTTTCGATTTCCCACATGATGTAGCCATAAGCAATGTGCACTGCGATAAGTATCAAAATAATAATCAACATGTGGCACCTGGGCCAAGGTGGGTGGTAGTTACAGGGGGTGGTGTACTGCCCATATCTCCCCCCTCTCTATGCCAAGCTATCGTGTCCCCTACTTTCTACTGTTATTTCTCTTAGTCATTAAAACAAGAATAGTGCATTGAGGTGCAGATATGCTGGATCCGTTGAAAAAGGTTAGTCCTTGTCTACGGCTGTTGTTGTGTAGAATTGTAACACTAATTATATTAATAACATAATCATTATAACTCAATCAAGGCCTCGATTGACAATACTTGAAATGTTAGAAAGACAAACATAGCATAATGACAAGAAATACTGTTAACCTACTAAAAAGAGCAAACACGTGGTGGTGGTGAATACGATAGGCAGTGCCAGCAAGGGCGTCCCCTGCTTCAAGGTGCACTTTCCTCTCTTACTTATCACAGATTCTTTCTCGCTTTATTCTTCTCAGGGTCCAAAAGGTATTTTCCATTTGTACGCTGCATCCACATGGCCAGTGCATGATACAGGGCCCAAGTGGAACACCTGTTTGCAAAACATAATAAACTATCAAGGTTAGTTTTCTTAGCATGCGTCTTTGCCTAGGACTCCTTTCCAGGTTTTGTCTTCGCAAATCAAGAAAAAACTAATTGACAGCATCATAACCAAGCGTTACTAATACATTAAAAGAGCTATTCCCATAGATTACAGAACTGGTAACATTAAATCCTGTTTAATTCACACTCAACCTACTACTAAAATAAAAGAAGAATACAACAAACCAGATAACGCCTAATAACTCTAATTCTTGAGACTATATTGATAACACGAGAAAATCACCCACTATATCATACCACTACTACTGCTACTTATTTGCAATATAACAAGTTACAAAGCAATACCAATAAAAAAGAAGCACACAATCCCGGTCGTTATAAAGGCTGGATGCTATTTTCTGTCTTGAGATGAGGCCGAACGTATCGTGCTTGAATCCACGTAGGGCCAGTCCATAATCTTTCTTGTGGTGTATCTCCCGTATTCCTCCTTTTTGTTTATTAAGAATAGATTTCAATGATAGATGAGTATGCTCAATGATAGCATGTCCAGTGGGAGAATGAGGAATGCCTGTAACATGTCTAACCCCTCATTCTTGGAAGAAAGTGTAGCCTTAGAAGTATATGTAGGTCCGTTATTGTTTTCAACCAAGTGACACAAAGGCTGCAGAGATGCAACAGCAGGCAATGTGTATAGGGCGGAGGATGGGGGTGGTGCAGTGAACGACGGGGTGGAGTGGAGGGTGAGAGCACGGTGAGCATCGTGGATGGAGCTGAAGGCAGGAGCGGGATGAGCGTCATGGGCAGAGTCGAGGGCAGCAGTGCGGGGGGGGGGTTTGCAATTTCTCTTCTTCAGGTCTTCAGGTCTTTCTTTAGGTCAGGAGTGGGGTCAGAGCTGCAGAACGAATCCAGACCAGGGCTGCTTTCTGCAGTGAGGGGCAGCAGCGGGGGTGGGAGGGAGGGCGATGGGGAATAGCCCGAAGAAATTCTTCTTTGTTGAATTTGTTTAAGTCCTTCCATTATTTAGTGCCACACAGGCAAAGGCTTAGCAGCCATTCTGTCTTTAGTACTAGCCATCTGTGCTTGTATAATAATCGTCTCTGCCTGAGTCCTCACCTGTTGCTCCCACACTGTACATTGTACCAGTGTTAAGACTGTCCTGGCCGTCTGCTGCCAAGTCAAACTTAAGCAGTCCTGATGTCGCGATGGTATCTAACAGCAGCTGCACCCCTGATCCCGATATCCCTTCTGACTGAATAGCTGATCTCAATTGCAACAGAATTTTGTAATCTACAGGATTTCATTGACAGGCCCCATCTGGACCCACCAGAACCAGAAAAGCTGCTGAGGGCGCGGGTGCATCAGGCTCAGTGGTCTGCAGCCAACAGCCCATTAATACACAGCTCTTAGCCTCGATAAGGCGCTCCCTTGCAGTTTCTTGCAGGACATCATTTAAGGCAGCTCCCCTGGTGGTCGACGCCGCCCTCTTTGCTGCTCATTCAGCTGGTCGGGCAACTATACTAATTTCTTTAACCATCTCCTGCATCTTATGCAACAGCTGTTGCGCAGCTGCAGCCTCCTCCAAACCCAGTTCTTGCTCTGCCTGTCCGGCCCCTTCTCCTCCATTCACCGATCCCGGTTGCTCTTGTCCCTCCTCTTTCTGCTCCTGTCGCAGGCCGGCTGCCTCCACTCCCCCGGCACTCCCTCCACCATACAGAGGAGGGGCCGTGGGTGCCATTACTGAACTAGCGGTGGGCACAGGCACTGTTCCAGGAACATATGAGAACGCAGGTGTGGCCCCAGTAGCCCTCCAATTAGATGCCGCAGGAGGCCACACAGGCACCGCCCAAGGCACATCATCCTCCGCCCCAGACGTGCCCCCCCCCCCCCGCCCCGTCTCCCCCTCCTCCCCTCCGGCCCCGCCGCTCCTTCCGGATGTATCCATTCCCGACTCCTCCTCCTATTGCTCAGACTCTAACTCTGCCTTGCTGCTCTGTTCAACTTCCGCAACATCCTTCTGACCCCCCTTTGCAGGCTCCACATCCCCCTTCACAGGTTCCACACTGTCTTTCGCAGACCCCCCCTCCAATTCCTCGCCTTTCTCCCCAAGCTGACCTAACACCAACTCCCGAGCCATACACCAATACTGCTCCTCTGTTCCTACTGCTTTAAGAGTTCTTTCTAAGCTTCCCAAGGTAGATCTCTTCAGTCCTGACTTAACCTCCTTCCACAACTCCTCTGCCACCTTATCTAAATTCCTATGGGATAAGCACTCCGTAGGAGTACTCCCGTAACCATGGCGCTGAACCCAATTAATCAATGCCGTTTGGGCTTTTGACAACAGTGAAACCTCTGCCTGCTTTCCCAGCAGCTTCAGCATACCCACAGAAGCATAACGTGAATGCACAAAAGCCATAACGTGAGCTGCTGTCCCCTCATCCATGTGCACACATCTCATCATGTCTGGTATAGGGACATAATCCCCCCCTGGCTTGAGCCGACCAGCATCTTCAGATGATCCTGCTAGCTGGTGCGAAGCCAAAACAGCTACCTGCCGTTCTAATTTATGCTTCTTATCACCAAAGTTGCACCACTCTTCTTCCTCAAAGAATATCCCTGAATGTATGAACAAGCCCTCTTCCTTACCAAAGGGTAGTAATCCCGGCACTTGCTTAACAGTACCCATATCCACCCCTTGCTTCTCTAAGAAGCGCTGTAATAAATTCAGGGCTACCTCTCTTTCCATGGTGCACTGCAACCTGCATCCCACCGCTCTCACAGCACCCACTTGAGATTATTGGAGCTCCACTCTTTGCCCTCTGGATCTGCGCAGACCCCTCTTGGTCGGTCTGGGCAACCATATCCCCCAGCTCACCACTGCAACACTGGTGCTTCTGTCCGTACGCTCAGTGCCGTACGCTCAGTTGATCACCGGTCTCTGTTCAGGCACCACTTGCCACGGAGCTAAACCAGCAATGCGATCACTATCTGAGCGGGAAGCATGACAAGACTCAATATGAGTGATCCAGCTTCAGTCTATTGACAATTACACAGAGTTTTTATTGCTGGCTTTAGCTATTGTGTTGCCGTGCTATTGGTGGACAACAGTCGTTTCTTCACCAAGGGAAGATCATGTTTGACCAAACATACATACATCATGTATGGATTACTTAAGCCAAGTGCAAAACCTTGTACATTGCTTTGTTGAATTCCATTTAGTACATGTACATAATGATATGTACATGTACATCATGTACATGTCCATTATGTACATGTACATAATGATACATACATTAATTACACTTAATTAATCTAACTATGTGCTATCTGTTTTTGTCAACTCCATTAAACCAAGTTCCTCCTCGGGCTACTCCCTCCTGCTCACAATAACACTGACCTTCTGTTAGCCTCCAGTATTTTTCCATGGGTATATAATCTGTACTGCCATACAGGCTGTGCTCGCACATCTCCTCATGGCCTCTTTGTTCCCAGAGCCATCCCCCAACAGTTAATAATAGGCCAATACATTGCAAAGAACATAATGGCTTTTAATCCCTTAGACAGTGCCCCCATGATAAAAAGCAGGTAGCTACCAGCTTCATCGCTGGTAGCTGCTAAATAAGAGTTAATGAATGGAGGCAGATGCGAGGAAAAAAAAAAAAAAAAAAAAAAAAAAAAAAAAAGAAAACCAGAAAAAAAAATAACCGTACATTGCCTGGAGTTTGGCAGACTGCTGGGACTACAATGAAGGTCAAAGTAGCAACACTTTTGCAGTCTCTGGCTTAAGAAATTTTTTTTTTTTTTTTTTCCCCTAATGTTAAAAGCTTCAGAGTGCCTGTATTCTCCACTGTAACTGTCACAGAGTTAATTAGATCAATCTATGCTCATGACAGGGGGGCAATAGGCTTGTGGGCCCCCTGGCCCCCAAAAATGGGAAGAAGGGAAAAGGGGTAGGGAGAGGGGAGCTGGGCTTGAGGAAAAAAAACAGAACAGTAGCAATGATCTAAGGAGAAAAACTTATTTTACTAACTATATATCGGAATGTAAGCTAACACAATATAATACAATCTAATTGAAATTGAGACTAATAAATCAAATAAAATAGGATACAAAGAGAGTTTTCTGAAACTGAAAGCCTACTTTGAGCTGAAGGCACACAGCTTGGGACCCACACCCTCTGCCAGGCAGCAGCAAAAGAGCGAGCAAGATCTCGTGACTTCCTTCATCTCATGACTTATCATGTTCACCTCACATGCGAAAGATCCTCTGGGATATGTAGTTCTTCTCTTCTGAGAGCCAGGCATCCAAAATTTGTCAATCCGTGGAACTGGAGTATTCATTCTTTATCTGTACACTACATGATGTTATGATGTGGGATACCAAAAACCAAAAATCACAAAAACATGACAGAGGGAGACATCAAGACCGTAGCTGGAGTGGGTCAGGCCACTCCATGGCAAGTCTCTGCTCACCCAGCCATGATGACACACACACTTTACTGTGTACTACTTACTATGGTACAATACACAGATGATGTTCTATGTGGAGCAGTCAGCATCGATCAACCTAAAGATCTAAAACTAATAATTCATTAGTTTGCTTATTTTTCTGTGACTAGCTGGATATAGATTATTCCAAAGAAAAACGTGTGAAAGAATTAATGGAAAAAAACACACGAAAGAAAAGAAGATATACGTTGGATAGCAAGAGAAGTAGTCAGATTTCAACTAACAGAAATAAGTCCAAGATTTGGTATTCAGGAAGACTCACGTCAGATAGAAGGCCTCACTTTGTAGCAGAAATAACCAAGGAGTATCTAAGTTCCTGCCTGCACATGAAATGGGACTTATGTGCCCCATGGAGGCCTCAGTCAAGTGATCAGGTAGAGAAAGAATCAAATATTAAAAAGATAGATTGGAAAGTTTTGTCAAGAAACACATTTGAAACAGGTAGAAGTTCTCCCTTTGGAATTATTGAGAATTCAAATAATCTGCAGAGTCTGGGAAGGAACTAGTCCTTGTGAAATCCTGTACAGGTAAACATACACTATAAATTTGACTGGAAAAAGGCAATCAGACACAGATAGCTGGTAACCAAATACTTTCTGAATGCCTCTTTCATTTGACAAGAGTACTTTTTTTCCTCCATAGGTACGTGCAATTAATTAATCCAGTGCACCTGGATGTACCCATACATTCATTTTTCAAACCAGGGGAATGGGTGTATCTCTGAACTGGGCAAGACACACCTTTGGCCAAGAAGTGGAAAGGACCTTATCTGGTATTCCTAAGAACAAATGCTGCAGTAAAAGTAAAGGAGATTGACTCAGGGATTCATTATGCTAGAGTAAAAGCAGCTCTACAAGGGAAGTGGAAAGCTGAGAAGGGGGAACATTTTAAACTGAGAAAAGGGAGATTTAGGCAAGATATTAGAAGGAAGTTTTTCACTCAGAAGGTGGAGATGCACTGGAACAGGTTGCCCAAGGAGGTTGTGGATGCCCCATCCCTGAAGGCATTCAAGGCCAGGCTGGATGTGGCTCTGGGCAGCCTGGTCTGGTGGTTGGCAACCCTACACATAGCAGGGGAGTTGAAACTAGATGATCAATGTGGTCCTTTTCAACCCAGGCCATGCTATGATTCTATTTTGATTGGAATGTACTCAGGGAATATGACTCTGTTTCGTAACTCTGATTTTACTCATTCTATATTTTACTTATTTTTTTGTAACTATGCATATTTCCTTAAAATAAATAAACAAATAAATAAATAAATAAAGGAACTAAGGGTGCCCGGGGTGGGGGGAGGGGTTGATACTTTTCTGTTGCCTTTAGAAGATTAAGGAAACCAGGGAATGCATATAGAAACCAGGAAACCCATGGAATCAGAACATGTTTCATGAAATAGTCCAAAAGACAGTTCAGACTGCTAATAGGACCCATTTTTGGACTTGTACTCATCTTCCAGGACATGCTGAGAAGGGAATTTAGCACCAAAATGAGGAGTTTGTACAGTAACTAACACTAGTTGTTGCTTATATGTAGATAAAAGTGGTACAATTTCTTCAGATTTTGAGAAAATTTAGAAGCAGACAAAAATATTGCATGAGGTTCAAAAGAAAATGCTTGCTACAGGTTTGTAGAACCATTCAGATGGTTCACTTCCAGGTTTAAGTTTATAAATTATGAAAACCATAGCAACTGCATTTCAAGTAATGTTAGCTTTTGCCTGTTTGTGTGCAATATTGCAGAACATATCAATGTGTTGCTTGATGTTACTTCTTGAAACCTCAGAGAAAATGAGACTGATCTAACCTGTATTGTTAGATAAGTTTCAAAGGGTGAGGGGGGGATCAATCAAGTAAGAACCAATATTTGCATAACTCCATATATGTGCATCCTCAGATATAACATACTTTTAACATAGGTCACACTATAACATACTTTTATCTAGGTCAGGATGACCATCCTCAAAATTGCTAATGTGATGAAGTAGAGGAACTCTTAATCAAAATCAAATGACTAAACTTGTCCTTGAAGACAGGAGCACCTTGGAAAACACATGCAGTTAATTAGCATGACTAGTTAGTCTGCAGGCACAGAGATTAGCCTTATCTTAAACTGATCATTTTTGGGCTAGGTAGCCGTCAAGTGATAAAAATATGTATAAAAGAAGCATCACAAAAATGTTCCTGCTTCCTGCAACTTAGCAATAAATCAGTGTTTCATCTGTGTGTGAGATGGGCTGACTGCATACTGGGAACAAATCAACTTTTTGGATGGAGTATGAACTCTGCCTGTAAGCTCTTAGCTTTTCATTGTATTTTCTCCCCCAGTTCTGTTTGGGAGGGGGAAGTGAGTGAGCAGAATGGTGGTGCAGATCTCTCTGTTGCCGTTAAACCACCATGCTCAGGTACCTTCTGTCCCCCAGCATGCAAATGCAAGGAGGCCTGTAGCATGCAAAGAACAAAATTGGAGCCCAGCACCTGAGCTGGTGCAGATGCAGAAAATGCTCAGGGCCTAAGATTGTGCGCAAAAGGCATCTTCAGTTGCAGGGAGATCTTGAGCAAGAGCTTTGGGAGGATGCTGCACAACAAAGCAGGCCTGGATAGTTCAGGGGGTAGCACAAACCCCAAAACAAGTGAACAATCAACTGCTATACAAGGAAAATATAAGTTTAAAACTGCCACTAGAGGTAGATCTTGCCTGCTGGATCCCCTAAGGGAAGTTGGGGACTGGTGGGAAGCGGGGAAGGAAATGGAAATTACCTACTCTGAGGCTTTGGATTAAGAGACTCAAAAGCAGATAGAGGGATTCGAAAGCATGCAGGAATCTATACATGCAGAAGTACGGAGCAAAGTCACCTCATGTTTTCTATGAGGGGGGGAAAAGTACAGCCTCAGTGATGCTGTATTAGGGAGAGCCAACAGGGCAGCACAGCTCACCAACCTCCTCCGCTCACTTCCTTGTCTTCTGAGCTCCAAGCCCTTCCCAGGTCTCTCAGTGTGCAGCCCAGCCTGCAACATGCCAGAGAACAGCTCTCTCCCTCAGTCCGACTCAGCAAACCCGTTGTGCTGGGCAGGAAGTGAAGCCAGGAGCAGGATCTCACCAGCATAAAAGCAATTGTGGTTCAGAACTGCCTTTTGCTGCTTTCTTCTTCTCTTTCAGCCCTGCAGGTAGGGGGCAGGAGAATACCTTGGTGGCATTCCCACAAAGCATCAGAGAATGGGTAAAAGCACATAGAGCACAAAGAGGAAAGAAAGAAATGGGAGGGGGAGAGGGGGAAAAGAAACCAGCCTGAAGAAAAACTAGTTACAGTCAGTGCAACATGATGAAAATAAGTCCACCCTCTTACGTAAAGCAAATATACGAAGAGGGAATGCCACAGGGCATGGGGACATCAAGTGCTGCTACAGGGACCGAGGCTTGTGTCCTGCATGCAGGCCATTTGACCTGTTTCCTCATAAAACCAGGAAGTTTTCCATGGTTGGGAAAACTTATGCTCAAATAAGCTTGCTTAATTATCTTTATCCAAAAAGGAGACACAGAACTTTTTAGTTTTCTTTATTTGAATAAAGGGAGACTCCACTGGAGCATACCCGTGTGGGGTCTCTCAAAGTATCAGGGGACACAGACCTTCTTTTATCCCTACTCCCTAATGTTAGTGGGCCCTTCCCCCTTTCCCTATTGCTAAGGTACTCGGGGTTCACATTCTTCTCAATTCACCTATCACACACTCATCCCCCCCCCATCCCCAAGTAAGTACTGTGGAATGCTATAACGGGGTGGAAAGAACTGCAATAATAGTAGGCTGGAAAAGTCTTTGGCTATAGCAAATGAGAACAAGCCCAAATGCAGCAAAGGCAGACATGAAGGAAAAGACCTGTTTACCTTTGGAAGGCCTCAGGTAGGCAGGGGCCTCCAGAGAGATACCCTCACCTACACTGCCAAACGTACAGCGAGGTTTGGGAAAGGGTAGATCCTGGCTTTACCCCTTCCAGTCACTCAGGTACACTGCACACACCTGAGCTCCCCTGGGTTGGCCCTGCCTCCCCACCACCTTCTCTTTTTCAATGCTAAGGCCATGACTTACCATTTCCGCTTCACCCTGTAATTTCCTTTTTAAAACATTCTTTGCAATCTGGATCCAGAGTTTGTTGTTTTGCCCAACTATCATTGTATCCTGTTTGACAAGATCCATCACTCTTCATTCTGTCAAGCAAACAAGATTTACAGATAGACGCTAAGCTAGCATATATTGCTGTATACCTGCAAGATAAGTTTGTTTAACTAGTTCTTCTCAGATTTTATTTTGCAAGGACATTTCTTCTTTCATCTCAGTAAGCTAGCTCAGGAACAAAGAGCTCCCCTCTGAGTCTTCCAGTTCAGGACTCTCCTCTTTTGCAGAGCCCAGTTATTTTTTGGGTTGTCAGTCAGGAAAGCAACAGGTCAGGGAGGACATTGCTCGCTGTGGGTCTTGATGGCTGTCTCCCTCTCTGGAACAAGAAGATGGGTCAAGTCTGCTTTTCTTTGCCTCTTTTCATGACCTTCCAAATCTGGGCTCTGCACAGGCACTGAAGGGCACCTACCATGGGTGCAGAGTAGTCTGCTCCCAGTTTTGTTGCAGGCAACCATGTTACTTGAGTCATGTCATGGGTTTGCCCTCTTTTCTCTGTCACACTCTAAGATTTCTT